GATAAATCACACTCTGAAATCCTATGACAATAGAAGGGTATCCTTATTATTAAGGATTTAGTTGATGTAGATCCTGAAGTTCGCAATTCTCCTTTTTGGAGACACGTCAGCTCTCACATTTGGCATTAAGATGCCTTGAATAGTAAATAACCCTGCAAAATAACCAAGAGTTGGCATCTGTAAGGACAAATGGCTCATGGTTAGTTCTGTTGCAAGTACTAGCCACCTTACTTCAGCTTGGGACAAGTTTGAGATAGATATTCACAGTTTTAAAAGCTGTAACAGTCTGAGAAAGTGTGTTTTCAACTCTAAAGAACAATAAAAGGATTTTTAGAAAACTTAAGTTTAGTAGAATAGAAAGGCCACCTACCATTCAGTTTTATTACTTGTTCATGAAACATGAAATTAGGAGCAGGCAGGGAAGAAGTGTCAAGAGACAAGAATCAGCTTCAGCTGCTAGAGCAGGAGCTGGAGCTCAGAAGCTGAAACAGGGGACACGGACTCCTAGGAGCCTTTGATGTGAGTCTCAGTGAGGGAATGTTTTAGCCACAGACAGAAGCAGTGCCACAAAAACACTTACTGCCCATGTTTAATGCTAACTTAGAGCTCCCATCAGCACACCCCATGCCCTCCAAACAGGCTTGCGCTGCAGAGATACTGGCCTTCTGCTCCAGCTTGTTCCCGGTGTTGCCATGTAAATCAGGTGTGTAAGCAACAGCCTCTGCCTTCCTGCAGCTGATTGGAGGGGGTTAAAACCTCCACCAAGGAAACATCAGTGTTTGCCTGGCAGGTTTGTTCTGCTGGCCTTGTGCTGCCCATTAGCAGATAACACCTAAAGGTCATTTCTCTATGTGCTTATGCAACTTTTTAAGGGGCAAGACAGTGTGTTCTGCAGCGTGCTGCTGGCTGTGAGCCGTGGGCAGGCTCAGCATCCCTGCTCACTGTTCTCCCTGCCCTCTTTCCCACAGCCATTACCCACTCTGATAAGCAAAGCTGCTTCTCCTTTCGATAAGAATGAGATTGCTTTCCATGCTGAAAGCTATGAAATGAGTGCCTGATAACATTAATGCATCCACGAAAAATAGCGTGGGTGGACGTCGATAGCTCAGTGCACCGCACGCTGATTCTCCCCTCTGAACGTGCACAAGGAGCAGTGGGTGCTGTGGAGTGTAGGGACTGCTGCTCTTTGGCAGCACACCACTTGGTTTGATAATGGCAAGAACACTAACAGCCACTATAAGAGCAGAAAAGGTCTGAATCTGCCCTGCATATCATACAAATAAATTCCTAGAAATTCAATTTCACTACAATACTAGATTAACTTCTCTAATAAATATAAAATTGAGTGAGTTTACACTAGAAAAAAAATGGCATTTATTTTAATGAGAGTGCATTAGTACCTACAAATCATTTATTTGCAAGGTGAAGCCTCTGAACAAACAGCTCCTTGCATGTTCATGGCAATCACTGCACTGCTTTGTAAGCACAGCTGAAGCCTGGCATGTGGCTCCCCTCCGTTCTCATGAAAATGCACTCACACTCAAATGCAAGATTTCTCTAGGTTGTTTATCAGCTCTTTCCTGCCTGAAGACAATTTCTCAAGGTGGCATTCACACACACAAGAACTTCGTTTCTGTTTCTAAATGAAGAGTACCTTTGGTTTAATTTTAAGAGAATTACCTCTGGTTTCTGGAAACAGCCTATAAAAAATTCCTTCTTTACTTCAGAGTAGGTTTAGATCACTTGGTTTTCAGCAAAGTGAAGCAAAATAATGGCATGACAGCCAAGCCCATCTTTGGCTAGCTACACAATCTCTTCAAACCATCCTAAGTCCATCCCCTGAAAGAGAAAGGCTCCTACATTCCCTCCATGCCAAACTCCTTCAGTCATCCCCACCACACTGCCACACTGTGTTCTGTGCTTTCCTTTTGCCCACTAGTGTCTCCAGTCGGGCCATAAGAAATATTTGTACTCACATTAGGGTTGAAAGAACAGCGGATTATTTCAAAATTTGTTTAACAGAATAAGAGTGGAGAAGAATTTAGTTCACAACAGATTCAAAACTATTTTTTTCTGCAGAAAAGCTAATACATGTTTGCCGGGTTTTTGGTTGATGATGATGATGATTAAAGGCTATCATTTCCTTCTAATGTTCCATAACTGGTTATTTAGCTCTCATTGGCACTAACAGGAACAGCCTGCTTAATCACTGCATGCAGAGATGAATAGATCTGAAAATGTGGTGGGTGGAAGCCGCCTTGCCTATTGAGCTTAACTATAAACAGAGAAATGATATGAAATCTATTTTTCTGTTGACATTGTCTTATGAATCCCTCTACTACTGCCAATTTTAAAGCTTTATCTTCCTTAATATATTTTCAAAAGAGGACTTTTAAGTACCTTGTGCCATGCAAGAACATTAAGATGCACAAGAGCTCAGTGATTTTGTATGACCCCAAATTTACAAGGTTATGGCAAAGCCAAGAATAGAGCACAGGTTTCTGCCTCCTACATCTCTGCTGTAATATTCCCACTGCAATTAAAGTGATCCATCCTTCTGTGTGCTTTGATGCAAAACGTAAAATTAGGGGCCAATTCATGACTTCATATATATTTCAGGGGATCCATCTCTTTCAAAAGTTGTTGACATAGCAATAAAGACTGCCCACAGACACGTCACTGGGGAGAACATAGCAGGGGAGGAATAACTGCATACTGTGGAGTTTTTGCTTCTCTCATCTTGCAAGATATCTACCTTTATACTTGCATCTGTCAGTAGACACGAACAGATTTCCTTGTCCGGAGTTACAAACATGAGGAATGTCCTGCTCGGGAAGGAGAGAAGTAGGACAGCTATCGAGCTGCACTTCAAAAGCACACCAAGAAAACTTAAAGTTACTGTGCCTGTTATTGGAGGCTGGATAAATAACCTGTTCAGACTTCAAAGATCTGTTAAGATTAAATAACTAACCAAATGAGAGCCTTCATGAACAGGAAGCCCCTTTGTATGTCACTTTGTAAAACTTCATGCTTTCTGTTCACTGTCTTTTTGAATAAATACCAAATGACTTCTGGGGCTTCTATCCAATGTCTTCCAGTTCACTTCTGGGGGATGCCATCTACTTATGCTAAAAAAAAGGTATTTTGCAAGTGCATCCTAATGTCAGAAACACTAACTAATTTTTGATTTTCTATATAATTTTGGCTTAAAAAAAGGCATTTATTGCTTCTTAGCAAATTAGCAAGATTAGGTTTCGGCACACTACCAGTGCAAAGGAGAGCAGCAAAAGGTCAGAGAGAAAAGGAACTTTTCTAAGGATTAAAGAGGAAAGACCTACGGAAGAGAAATGAGTCAGTCAGGATTTTTGTCATGTCCTGAGCACCAAGAAAATGCTAAGAGATTTTTTTTTTTTTTATATTTGAAATTCGGTCTATCTGAATGAACCAAAAAATATCCAGTCCTCTATATTGTACTTCCACTCAGGAGACAAATTTGTGATGATATTCTTTGATGCCAGCAGTGTGAAACATTCCTGCATCAAGGAGACCATATGGGGAAGACACAAATGCCAAAAACGTGGCATCACCGAGCTAGTAGCACAGGGCATTAGGAATAATAGGTGAAGCTGCTGGATGTATCCATGAGAAGCAAAAGAAAAATTAAAATGCTTGTAGTGACTATAAAACTGAGAACTATCACAGCTATATACACAAAGTTTTTTTTTTTAATATAATTTTAGTATAACTTTGAGGCATTGCCTATACAATAACTATTTCTGGTATCTCAGTTGTAGTCTAACCTTCTAAGACCATTCATCAAAACACATTCCAAGTCTCTGACCCACCTTCATCAAGATATTCCAGATAAATAACACGATTCCTATTTCTTGACACACAGTATTTCTAGCAACAAAGTCAAACACAGAGGTGGCCTCAGGATGATGGTATCTGTATGGATTCACCTGGAGGTCACAAACAAATCCCAACATCACCCACAGCCAGAACAGAGGCAGAGCTGCCCCAGCCCAGCCCAATTGCCCCACTACCACTGAGATCCCTCATTCCTGTTTGCTTGCAGCAGCAAAGGGACTTCATTAGGTAGCAAACCATGCTCAGAGCACATGGAGAGCAGCTTATTGCTCTGTGAAGAGGTGACAAGCTGCAGGTGCTAAGCAGGAGCTGAGTGGATTTCAGCTGCGCACCTTCTTTGTGCTGTTAAGGAAGTGGCACCTCAGCTCCTGCTCTGCCTTTCTGCCTCCAGCAGTGCCTTGCAACAGGCCTGGGGTACCCTTTTGGTAACGACACCCCAACCCTTGCTATCCTGCAAGCCTCATTAGGCATAGGATTCAATTCTACCAAATGTTTCCTGACTGAAAAAAAAGGAAAATACATCCACATTAAATGGTGCCACTGCATAGCCTGCAGTGGGTGACCTTTCCATTGGCACCCATCAAACAGGGGCTATTTCTTGACATGTGCAGGAACAAGAAGAATTACTTTAAAATATGAGCTGCATCCTTTGCATGGAGACAAGCAGAGAACGAAGCAAAGGGAGTCAGCATGCAAGTAAAACCTGACTGGCAAAGCATGTAAGGTTAACAGGAAATGATCCTCCCAGGATTCAGCCTTCCCACGGATTGAACTAGGATCAACTCTGACAGCAGCATGCCATTTACTTGATAGAACCAGGTATATATTCCCTCAGTCTTAAAAATTATTCCTCTTTCCCTGACTAAGGAAACATTGTCAGCCCAACACTCCTAACTACAGAACAGTTCACAACCACCACATATAAAATACTACATGAGAGCAAACAAATACTTTTTCAGAAATTTGCAAAATTACTACAGAATAGTTTCCTTTATGAAAGGTCTTAACTGCAGCAATGCTCTTCTATACTTCACGGAAAGGTGCACAAATGCTTTTCAGTACACTAGGAAGCAAAGCTTTGGTGCCATTGGGTCCCATACGGGATAATGCTACTGACAGAGCATACTGACCTTCCATGCGGAATACTGGAAATAAATCTAAATACCTTTAAAAGGCCAAATGGAGAAAGCAACATTACACACAGTATGTTTTTTTGGTAAGGCACAATTTACTTCTGAGTTGAGAGTCAGAAGGATCCAAGTGAGTGTCCATACTGCCTTACCTAATCATACTTCAAAGAAGAAATTAACTGAGGAAGTTCTCCTGCATCTTTGGAATCAATAGGATGTGCAGCCAGCTAGAACCTACCCGCCTCGCAGTGTGGTTGCTCATGTCTATCTGGAAGTGAATTTGGTCTGTTCTGGGAAAAGTGTCATCTGCCTGTGGTGTGGGAAAAAACATGCTGTTTTTCTGTCGTTTCTGTAGATACACTCACCCACATACACTGCAGTCATGAGGAAACAGTGTGATTCAGATAGCTCTCTATCTGAAAGAACACTGAGGGCAGTCATGTGAAAGTGAAAACAATCATGATTAAAGAAATCATGGGGAAAAACGAAAAGTTAATTACATATCAGCACCAATATAAATGCTATTTTTTTTCATGATTTTCTTGTGCTATTGTCTTATTTTTCAGTTCTAAAAAACTATGTATTTTGTCCAAGGATTAGATAAGAAACAAGATCAGGAACAAAGTATGTTTTCATAACTGTACAATTTAGGCTACACAAGACATTTTATAAAAAATCCTCTCCATCACCCAGCTCTTAATTCACCCATTTGAGACCCATCAACCAGAGCGCTCTCCCTCCTGACAAACCGCCCAGATGTGGAGCTGGGCACTACAGCTCTGCTTTTCACATGCATATTTTAACATCTTTCCCCCTGCATGTATTAGCCTAAATCACCACAAAATATATTTCCAAGTGAAGTGAAGTTCTTTTTACAGGAATTCACGTTTTTAAAAGAAAATCAACAGAGCTCAATAAACAGGAGAACGACTGGACATAGAAAAAAAAAGACTTGTTTTCAGAGGAAATGAAAATGCTTGAAGTCTGCACTAGAAAAACCTGATGTTCTCAGAAAGCTGGGCACCTACTGCATGTTTGGATGTGGCAACTGCAACAGCCTCTGGACAGCCTTGCAGCATCTTCAATAGCAAGTGCCCATGATGCAGCACTAGGGACTGGCATTTTTTAGAGGAATTTGGTTAGACTTGCAGGCATCAGCCCTTATCAAAGCAGCAGCACAAAAGAACCATCAGACCACAATAAAGTTGGCTATTATGGGTTTTACCGAGACTCTCAAAATCTAGTGAGGCAATACACTACAAAAGGTACTTCAAATACAGTACACAAGGGCACATGGGGCAAACTCACCACACGGCTGGAAAATTACTTGAGAAGAGTTGAAGAATATCACAACAACTCCTGAAAGCACAAATTAATTAATTCTCCCATGTGTTTCTTGGTGATACTTATTTTATTTGCATCTTTTGGCTACTTTTATATATATATATATTATATATATATTTTGTATTGCATAGCATAAGCAGATAGTAATTATCAACAAGTGTGATTGTGCTCTGGAGTGAGCGCAAAACTGCCAATTGTCTCAAAAGGAAGTGGAAATGAGTCTCCAAATTAGGCAATAATGGCAACACATCCTGCTGTTTTCCATACTTGCTTTAGGACATAATAAAATGAGAGTATGTAAAAAATACTTTGCTACTACACAATGGACACATAGCTGCCACTCCTGTCACTGGACTAACATTAATGCAGGGGGCATATCCTAAATGATGCAAACTGCAAAATCTCTGGGGAGATTCTGATCTATGGAGATGACCTGGCCTAAAATTTGTATTTCCAACATTGAGAGAAGTTTGTGGCTTCTCCCTGGGAAAAAGGCCAGCACATAATTGCTCTGAGTGCAGGCTAAGCTTCACACAACAGACAAGCTATTAAAGAATGGTTCTTGTTTGCCTTACCTGATGTCCACATGAGTAGTTTTCTCTGCTGAATGCTCTTGAAATTGTCCCTGAATTTTGGTATTTCCAGCAACAGATTTACTCAAATCTTTGCTTTTATAGCAATTTACCGTATGTGGAATGTTCATTGAACTAGGTGAAGATTGTGTGCATCCAGTGATGGTTTTTGAGCAAGTTCTGTTTTCAGTTCATCACAGCCCTAACAAGAGCAACGAGCCCCAAAACTGCCCACGATCACGAGGAAACTCACGGGCTGCGAAAGCCACATGCTCCGAGTCAGCAGGA